TGGTCTCGGCCCATCGATCCAGCCTGTACTTACTTGCTCTCATTCCTACTTTGCTCCATTCCTACTAATGACTCTCATTCCTACTTTACATCTTGGTGCAAACCTAAGGTTTGTTTCTCAGGGAGGTGAGGGATGTCAGACTTCCAGCCTGGAGGAAGCGTTGGTACCACGCAGTGGTATTTGCTGCATCTGACTGCAGCTGCGTCCAAGGTTGATCCCTCATGGAGAAAACCTCAGAGAGCGAGGTGCGAGGGAAATGCCTGACTTCAGCTTGTACCTTTGACAATTTTTCTTCCAAAGGCTGTTTCAGGCAGGGTTTGTGATCTCTTACTTGGGTTTCCAGGCCAAGAGCAACCTGCCCCGTGCTTCTGCCTGCCCTGGCAAGGAAAAGGAGTTCATAATAACGTGTATTGTCCCACTTTTAAGCTCTTTACTTCAGCCTCAGCCTGTAGCTGGAGCTATTGGTAGAGAGAGTCCTGACTTTCCGTGCTGATAAATGACTGCAGCCGCTCTGGTTACTGCATTTCACCCCCACTGAGCAGGGCTTGGCCGTGTTGCAGAAAGTTCCCCTTGTTTACAACATAGATTGCCCTGGGATCTTCCAGGACTAGAAGCTTCCCCGTCCATCTGCCAGGCTTGTTTATTATTTATTGTTATGGAAATTGTACCCTTGTGGATTCTTCCTTGAAGCCGGTGACAGCCAAGACTGATTTTTCCACTCTGCATCGTGTTTGCGGTGTTGTCGTGAATAACTTGCTATAGATTTGACAGGTCCAGGGAATTTAGAAACGCACAAAGTAGCGGGAGGCTATTTCTTATGCTGCTTTTGCACAGCAGAGGCCAGGCAGAATTATTCATGCAACCTTGACCTGGAGGTGTAAATACTTTGGACTTTCAGGAAGGGACAAGCAGGTACCTGAGAAACTTTTCTTCCTCACCCTTGTTCTGGAAACCTGACGCAACTATGGACATCTGTATCATATGAGTCCAAGCTTGATCCGACAAGTTCTTCCAGGGTCCAGCGTCTCGAGCTGAAGAGCTGGGACCTCTTCCTGAATTTGGTGTCGGGGTGGAAGGAAGGAGAAGCGATGGAGGACACTGGTACCTGGAAAGATGGACCCATCTGAAAGTGGGTTCATGCCAGGAACCAGAGAGGGCACAGCCCAAGTATTCAGCTGGAAGTCGGCACGAAGTTTTTTGGCACAAATTGCTGATGGAAATGAGATGCCAGTGGTAAGGGGTAGACAGCTGAGAGCAGAGACACCTTGGATTTCCACATAACGCCTACCACATGAGCACCACTGTTCTTTGTGAACTTAACAGTCTGCAAACCCATGGGACCTTTTACTTACTCGATTTTGGTATGGAATTTAATATGCCAGATTTATTTTGTTGTTGAATTTGATTTTTTTTTTTCCCCTGGAAATATGTTGTTGCCCTTATAGCTGCAAAAGTAATACTGTCTGGTTCATCAGGCAGTTTGTGGTGGAGTAGCCTCTTCTCTTCTTCATCGTAATTGCGTTGCTTTACGTAGCTGGGTAGATTATGGCTGTAGAGACTTAATTGCAACAGATTGTCATCTTGTCCCAAGAGTACCGTTTGGCATTGATTAGTAGGGCAATAGCAAGGTCCGTCGCACTTGAAAAGCGCAATGTTTTGTGACATGGAGAGAAAAACGTGTGACATCTGTGCAGCCTGTTCCCAAAGCACGGCATGGGATTTGTGGTTATACTGAGGTTTGCAAGGAAATGGCTATGGGCAAAAGCTATCCACAGATATATGGTTTTCTTCAGCCCCTATACTAATGATGAGAGCAGAGCTTTTTTCCACAAATCAGAAGCTAGTTCGTGGCCTCAAAAAAGTCACTGTCAGGTGGCTTGACGATGTGGGTTCCTTCTCACTGTGTTAATCTCTATCCTAAATATAATTGCAGATTTGATCCGAAGAGAGCGGTGCAGCAGCTGAGAGCTTGTGGAGTGCTGGAGACCATCCGCATCAGTGCAGCTGGCTTCCCGTCCAGGTACCGTATTGGAAATTTGGCGTGGCGTTGTGCTGCCGGTGTGCTTTGCTCAGCGAGTTCATGATCTGGGGCGAGGAGGGGAGAAGGAAACAGTAGTGTTTGCAGGACAAACAGGGTTTATTTAGGTGGGTTTATATCCAGGATAGATTTTCCCCTTTTTATGATTTTTTTTCCCTTTTTTTTTTTTTTCATTTTGCAAAACCCCCATTAGGTCCTGGATTCCTTAAATCATAGAGATTCGTTATCAAGCGATGAGCTGCAAAACAAGGCTGCCGGAGGGTGTGTTGTGTTGTGTCCAGCGTTGCAGCTGCTGCTTTCGTTTTGGTCCTAAGAAGTAATTTGCTGTGGTAAAATCTCTGAAAATGCCAGTGCATGGCAGATAAAGGAATCCAGCTTTGTTCCCATATAGAGCTGGACAGCAAGTGGCAAAATAACAACTCTGTATCCTCTGCACCCATCTTACATGGAAGCAAGTGTTGCCTTAAAGGACTTCTTCCCTGCTTGCCTGAAGTTCCCCATACAAAAGCTCCTTGCTCTGTCCGCTTTCCTTTTTTTTTTTTTTCTGATCTGTCTTCAGACACCTGCTGCAATAGTCATTTCTGCCCCAAATTTTTTGATTATACTTGCAGAGAAGGAAAATAAGGGTTGTAAATTATTATTACAGACTTTCACACCGGCCATCCAAAGCATACTAGGCTTCAAACTCTTGCATCTTAAAAAGAAAAGGTTATGGGTGGTGTGGCTCTTGCTGATTGCGATACGAAATTCCAAAGGGGTTTTTAGGGCCTAATAAATCAGAACACATAAACTATAAATAAGTTCTGAAGATGACAAGGGCAAATAATTCTAAAAATGCATCAATTGCGTTTTAGTGCCAAGCAGCTTTGTGTTAATGTCAGCATCGCCATCAGCCTTTTTTATGTGGAACAAAGGAGTTATAAATACGCTCAGTGAAGAGTCGGCTAAGCGTGATGCTGAACGCCATGAGAAGCTCCCTGTCCCGGTTTTTGGGGAGGAGTGTGCTGCCTTACCAGTTATTCTCATCTCCTGCAAAGGGCCTCTCATGGCAACTTCTACGCATTGACATGAGGTGGCTCTGCTTTATTTAACCTCTGTTGGCCAGTGACTTTCATGGACAGGTAAAAACTGGTGATGGGGATCTCCCTGGCCAGCTGAGCTCAACTACTTAGGAAGGCGAAAAAAGAAAAAGAAGAAAAGTTTCATGGAAACCAATTTCTCTCTGCTGCCAGCGTGGGACGGTGGCGCAGAGGTGAACGGAGATTTGGGTCCTCTTGGTGGGGGTCTGGCCCTGTTAGAAGACCCACCACCACCTTTGGCTTCCATCTCTGAAGTCTTCAAGGCATTTGTGGAAGTAACTAATAAACAGTTGCTCCTAAATTATGTGATCTCTAAGCCACTGCTAAGAATTAAAAACCAGCTCATGGGGCAGCTCTTTTGTTATCTTCTTTGTTAAAGTATCTGCAGGTCCAAATCTGTCTGTCCTCTTGCAGTAAAAGCCCTACAGCAGTGAATCAGCTGTGGTTTCATTTGGAAGAGGCCACAGAAAGGCATTTTTGTGCTTACTAAGCAAGTACTTATGCTCCCCAGTGCAGTCCAGGCTCCTGACTCTGCTGCAGTGGGTCCCAGGGGAGGTTTGGGGAGCTCTGACTTGAGGGTTGTCCGTGGGTTTTGCTACTGGTCTTAGCATAGCTGCAGGGATAACCTGTTCCTCTCCGTTCATAATTTTCCTACAAACTTGTAGCATTTTTCCATCTCTGCTCACTTAGCTCTGCAGTTTAGACCCCTATGGCACTAAAATCGATGTATAATTAGTAACTGAGGAGGGGGAACAGAGGGGAGAAACGACTGCAGCACCTGGAGACCAGCCAAGATCTATTTACAGCAAATAATTGACTGATGCAAAGACCACTCCATCCTGAAAAACTCGGAAGCGATGCTTTCAGCTCTGCTTGCGTGCTTTACGGGGTCTTTTTCTCATCACTGCAACTTGTCAGCTTTTGTTCTTCCTTCAGGAAAAAAAAGGGGTGCAAGTAGCTATTTCAACCTTTCAGAGTTGTCCGTCACCAGTTCAGGGTTTAGGATGCTTCAAGGACAGATTTTTGTTTATTTTAATGTTTCTAGGAGATAATTGTATACAGGAACCAGCTCTGCACTAAGTAAGATACTTACTTTGGGTTCTGGTAGTTCTTCACCCTCCTTGGTCATCAAATTCCAGTCTTGGAAATCCAGACCCAGGAGTTGGACAACATCGTTGAAAGATTGTGGATAATCTGTGTATTTGAATTGGCTTCATAAACCGACTTGGCAAAAGCTGCTTTCGCAGGATCTTGTTTTGTGGGAAATGTGATAGATGTTTTAGTTCTTTCTGCATTTTTACATCCATGTGATGTGTCTCACTTTTCATCACAGTAAGCATTGGTTATTTCTCTGTATTTCCTTGTATTTTCAGACAAGTGGGATTATAATGGTTGATTAAGGATAAAACAAAAAAGGAGCGCTTTAAATTTAAACCCCGTGTGAAGGCTACAAATTTAAAGCACTTAACGGAAAACTTAATCTTTGTGAGTTTTGCTTCACTTGGGTGTAAGCAATTTATCTTTAGAGCAACAGAGAATTTTCAAAATGTTTTATCTCAAGACAAGTCTTATTACAGAAACAGGAGAAAATGTTTATTTTCATCCTGCAGTATTTACATTGCATATTTTCCCACATGCTGTCACAAGAGTGACTTCTGAGAGTGATATGGCTTTGGGTCAGAGATTTCTGGATAAAACCACCTTCTGCCGTTATTTCACACTTCTCCATCACGGTTACTTTATGGGTTGAAGAATTGAATGTTTTGAGGCTTGAATGTTTTTTTTTTTACCTGGTTCCTTTAAGAAAAAAAAATTTAATATAATTTTTAGTGTTCTTCAACCCATGTAAGTCATGATGTATCCCCATTGAAAGACTGAAGCCTCGTGCTTCCCACTTTGGGTACGCCTGGCTTTATTTTATCATTTCCACGGTACGCTGCTCTCTGCCGCTATCTCTAGTAAATTGAAAATGCATCATTTGGTTTGAAATGTTACGCAGCAGTTAAGAAATGTATTTGTTAGCATGTACATAAATGACTGTGATGAATGGACTGTCTTAGATGTGTAGATAGTAAATCTGTCATCAACTTCCGTGGGTAAAGCATGGACGATGTCTCTGTACTCTAAAACCATTCATCTTCTTTATAGAAACTGGCTACATAAAGATTAGTCTATAGAGAATTAATTGATGCAGATCTCCATTAATAACAAAATACTCTTTAGAACAAGTTTTTAACTTGTGTTTTATCAAAACTCGACATTTTTTTTCCTGCTAGTTCTGGTGGTTTCCAGTCAGTGGTACAAGGACAGTCTCCTACCATGCCATCACTCTGAATAACGTTGTCGTTGCAGTCTCTCCAAATACTCTTATTGTAGCTGTTATGTATGAAATTTATTGTTTAAGTATTCTTGGCATTTGGCTGCTTCCTCTGGTCACCGGAGCTGACTGTCAGATGCAGCATCTTTGTATCAATTCGGTATGAAATCACAGCTGCTAAAGTCTATAAACATTAAACATTCATAATTGAAATGTATCAGGGGCATCCTTGGATGTAAAATCTTTTTTTTTTTTTTCTTTAAATAACATGCCTTTAGCTGTTTTGCAGTCATTTCAGGGAAACAAAATCTATAAATTACTTTGGCTACCAGCAGTTCTGTTTGCGCACTCCCAACAAAGGTGTAATATGTAAACAGAGTTTTTTTTTTTCCCCTTATTCTGCTCTTTGAATATATTCCAGATAATTTCAAGCCATGCCAGCCTGCATGTTTTAGAGCTAATTGAAAGGCAAATCTGTTCCGCTGCAGTAAACAAGGCAAGAGAAATTTTCTCCCTAAACTGCAGTTTCTAAAATAATTTCAGGTCAAATCTTGGCTAGTTCTGTTTGCGCACTCCCACAAAGGTGTAATTAGTAAAACAGGTTTTTTTTTTTCCCCTTATTCTGCTCTTTGAATATATTCCAGATAATTTCAAGCCATGCCAGCCTGCATGTTTTAGAGCTAATTGAAAGGCAAATCTGTTCCGCTGCAGTAAACAAGGCAAGAGAAATTTTCTCCCTAAACTGCAGTTTCTAAAATAATTTCAGGTCAAATCTTGGCTCAGATATTCAACCTGTGTGCCCTCAAACAGACTTCGACTCCTATAGAATGATCAATATAATCCAGTTCCTTACTGCTTAAAACATTCAGGGACGGTACCACGTGGTGCTGGCAGGATTTCTTACACAGAGTCGGGTTTGCTCAGCACACAGTCACTGGGATGGCATTGAGTGATGGGGGGCAATAAATTGATTTACCCTTAACGGAATGATTTTGCATTCAGGTACTTTAGGCCACTGAAATAAACCATGTTATGGTCAAGTCATAAAAGCTTCAAGGTCTTACTCTACTCCTTTCAGCTCTTCCTTCAGTGCCGCTGAAATAACATTGCTGTAATGACCCTAAAACAAGAATTTGGAGATATTTTGGGCAATTGCTGACTACTGGGAGAGATGCTTTTCAGGGACTTCCTTAGGAGTCAGGATTTCACCCCCAGTTTCTTACCCAAGCCCTCCCTTTAATAGCGAGGCTGTAATAAATCCAGCTGACTCTGCAGCACGAGGGCTGCTCTTGGATTCATAGCCTCGCTATTTTGGGCATTGCACCTGGATGTAGCTTTGCGTAAAGCATCCAAATCTTGTTCTTTAAACCACAGATACAAGACTTAATTTGTGGGGTGTGTTACGGCTTATTCCCTCTGTCTAATTCCTGTAGCCGACAAAGAAATTGGTGGGTTGACCAAGTCTCCTGCTCCTGGCCCAGCCCTTGAGCATCCTCCTTGCTGCACCAAGGGTGGTGGTGGTTTTTTTCTTCCAGACATAAGTTGTTTCCCTGTATCCTTCCATTGCTGTTACTGCCTCTTCCCTTTAGTGACCTGTGCTGACTTCAAAGCAAAATTTTGATATTTGAGGTTGGTTGTGCTTGATCTCAGCCCTGAGATTATTTTTTATTTTTTTTTTTCCTTGAGGAAATTTAGTATCTGTCCAGTCCTTCATGCCTTGTTCTTCCTCCTTCTCAGTTGTACAGATACAAAGATCCTCCTGGTTACAGCTCTTTGCCCACACCACCTGCTTGGACCTCATATAAATTGATAATTACAAGGAATTATATTTATTTAGTGGCCCTTGGATGTTTCCAGCTCCTAGCAATGAGGCCTGGCCGTGCTGTGTGTTGTGTGACAGTATCCTAAAAACCCAAGATCTAGTTTTTAATTTAAAACTCGTCAACGAGTTGAACTGAGGTATCACCTTCCCATAATCTCTCCTGACCTGCTAAGCTAACGGACCTGCTAAGGTAACACGGCACGGCTTTTGTCTTGTGTTGGGAATTGCTTTGTGGTCTAGTAGGAGGGAAATAAAGTTTTCTCTTTTTCCCTTTTCTCTGCTGAAGATGCAGATGTTGAACCTGAAAAAAAGACGTGTGCAGAAGAATAAAAAAAAAAAAGTGTGTGTGCATCAAAGCCTTCAGCTTCAGTATTTCTGCACCAGAGAGAGCTCCCTTGTAGAGTCAGGGGAATAATGTTTGTTTCTCTCGAAGCACATAGTTGTCAGGTAATTTTATACTGCTTTGAATCTGAAGTGGTTTAACCAGGAGTGTTTCAATTGTTCCTTTCTCTGAGTGGGGATCCTGTAACAGCACCTATGAACCCCTGCAACTTTCTTTTGCTTGTGAACTGGGACTGCAAATATTCCGGTGAAATTCCTGATGGACTGGCTGAGCCCCGGCATGGCAGAGCTTTTTGTCTTGTTATTCTGTGGACAACAATAAAAGCAGTGTGATCTCAGGACTGTTATCTCTTGCTAAATCAGCAAGGATTGGTGAGAGCAGCCTCGCTGCAGCCGGGGTGAAGCGATGTTGCGCCGGGGAGTTGCAGCGTTTGGCTGTGAAACCTCTGGGAGATGTGGATAGAGGACTACGCGTGCCACCAGCCCAGCAAAACACCCCGACGGCAATCAGTGAGCGTATTCCCTGCCGCTTCCAATGTCTCATGTGAGACCTACCCCTAAAAAGTGAGTTAGTTATAGTAAGGATGGACTCAAATGGAAAGAAGCGGAAAATCCGTTTTTACCACCTTGGGAAATGAAAGCAGCAGGCTCTGAAGAAAAACCCTCTATGTAGTGACTTCTGATTTATTTTTAAGGAATTTTTGCAGGTGTCTGACTCTGGTTTGATAGCAGCTGTGGGATCTCCATCTCTGTCTTGGTGCAGGAAGATGATGGATTTTGCTGCTTTCTGCCCAGCTTGGACCTGTGCCCGCAGTTACGCGTGTCGCCTCTTCGCCATCTGCTCTTTGCCGGAGGAGGATGATTTCTTCCTCCGAATAGCAGCATTGAAATAATATCAGCTCCTAAACTGACTCTGGCAGGTTAATGGGAATACTCCCTCCTTCTCTTTTCTCATCCCCTCGAGCTCTCCCTGGCTTTAGTAATACCTGAGCCAGGCAGGAGATCTCCAGCATCGCACGCTTGGCTGCGTGCCTCGGGCTCTGCGTGTTCTGCTTCTCCTATCGGGTTTGATTTGGAGCTGTGTAAGCCTCAGATGTGCTTAAAATGAAAATGGGTTTTATTTGCACAAAGCAAAAGGATTAAGATGCGGGTACAAAATGGGAAATGTAATTATAAAGCAAAAGGAAAGCAGATTTAAGCTTAAACTCTAAAAAAAAGTCTGGCATAATCTTTGTGTTCAGTTTTGCTGTACCTCACCCCAGAGAGAGCTCCCTGTAGCACCCGTAGCAGGTAATTTTTTTTTTATTTTTAGTGATAATCTAATGCTTTTGGTTATTTGAGGCTGGGTAGCCTTGGCTGTCCAGCCTCAGGGCTAGCCCATGTAGACAGGGATGAAAGCATCACTAAATGTGGCTACTCCAGTGCTACTCTGAGCAATCGAAATCCTCTTATCACAATTTCCTTCGTGCTTCTGTCTCCAGGAGCCCTCCATCTTACCTGTTGCTTCAACTGCAATGCTAAGGACTCTCTCGAGTTTTTGCCATTCCCATATTCTTTGCAAATGATGTCCTGGGTGCAACGTGTCCATGCAGGAATTGCGTAGCACTTCCCAATCCTTAGCAGTTCATTTATTGTTTTTTTTTTTTTTTGCTTTTTCTTCTTTCGTTCTCTTTGTAAACATTTGCTTCTACTATGCTTTTTTAATTAGGGTATTGCTTTTAAATCAAACTGACTTTCCTCCCCTGCTGCATTTTTGGAAGTGATGTGAAACTGTCCTGGTCATGTATTTTGAAATAAGCGTTATATTTCTGGTATGCCTATCTTAACCAAATATCCCAGCTTCCAGCCTTCAGGAAGTTTCATTAGAGATTATATCGGTGGTTGGACTAGATGATCGTTGCAGGTCCCTTCCAACTGAATTATTCTGTTCTATGAAGTATTTTATAGAGACGGCAGTTTCGAACATGGCAAATGCTCAGGTGCTGTGATGTCTCACCCAGCCCCATCACTGCAAGCTAGCCAAGCGTAAGGACCCATCACAAGCATCACTCTGGCCCTTTGCAATTTATTTTGCCTTTCTTCCCCCCCGGCTCTGTTAATCTCTGGAAGAGGAAAAATAGGAAGAATTGAGTGTAATAACACAAAAATAAAGGCATGCATGGGGCTGCTGGGCAGAGGAGGAGATGTTTCTGTATGGCTGCTGTTCATACAGCGTATTCTCATCTTGGCTGCCAGAACGTCCATGTGGGTGAGGATCAGGCTCACAGATACCTTTGAGTGAGGGCAGAAATCAATTCTCTCTCATCTTCCTTTGACATTTGTTATGCGTATTTTTTTGAAATAACGATGGCCGTACTTGGCAATGCTGAAAATGCCTGATGTTTTAATTAAAAACTCGGGTTTTGAGGGGTCCATAACTCACTGTGTTAATTTGGAGAAGGCTGAGACTTGGCAGATGCTGAACCAATTTCAGGATCCAGTCTGCAGACTCTGCATCTAACAGCGATGGCAGGAGATGATGTTTCCTAGCAGTAAGATACAATACTCCAGTTCTTGCAATTAGCGTTGTGTGTTTGGAAACTTCACTGCTGGTGACAGTGAGACATCTTCCAAGTGGCTGCTTCGTCTTTTCAGAGTCCAAAGATTTTGTGTTTGTTTTAAGGATCTCAACCACAGACCTCAACGTGGAGCGATTAGTAAATTAATTGATTCAAATTAATATTCAGCAGAGTTTGGAAAAGCAAAGCAAAGTTTCTATTTGATTCATTCTGTATCATCTTATCAAGATTACGTTTTAAAATATTTTTTTTGGCCAAGTCAGGAGATCCATGATCTTTTCAAAATTAGCATATCCTTTCCAAAGGAAAGAGCGTTGTTGCATTTGACTGGTAAAATGCAGCAGTTGGGAAGCAACTTGGGAAGAGCGAAAACAAGGTGATCCATGACCTTTCTGTTCCAGGCTACAAATGCACTGAGAAGGTCACTCAGTGGCAGGGGAGGGCTGAGACTGGGGGTCAGGTTTGGGGTGACCTAACTTCTTTCAGGTGGCTTCGATCCATGCTGAGGGTAGTGGTGAGAGATCCCCCGGTATACGAGATTCGTATTTAATTCATCTATGACTCCAAACGCTTTATTTTAAGGAAATCATGCCCAGCATGCAGACTAATCCTGTATATCCTTTGCTTTCAGGTGGTCCTACCATGACTTTTTCAATAGGTATCGTGTTCTTATGAAAAAGAGAGACCTCTCTAAGAACGACAAGAAGCAGATCTGTCAGACCTTGTTGGAAGACCTCATTAAGGTGAGCTGGGACCAAATCTTTGGCAATGATTTTTACGACACGGAAGCTCATGGCTTTGATATGATTTGAATTGTTCTTCTTACTCCTACTTCATCTGCTGCTCGTGCAGGTGTTTCTTCAGCCTAGATAGCCTGGGGCTTTTTCTGAAATGAGATAACCTCGCAAAGAGGTAGCGAGAGCAAGCGTGACATGAGTTCTTTTGATTGCAGTTGAGCTGAACATACCGTTTCAGTGCTGGTAAAGTCCAGAGTTTGCTGTCAGTGGCTGTACATGAACAACTGGCCATGTTTAGAAAAGACATCCCCCCAACCTCTCGTCCTGGTTTTGGCTAGCCATCGCTGGAGCACATTTTAGAGGTCCAGCTTTGGACAACATCATGAACTTTAGTCAATCATTAAATGTATCTTTGCACAAACGAGTAAGAGAAAAATGCCATGAATTGCCCTATCTTGATGTGTGGGAGACTTTTAGTGGCCACTAATATGTAGAAAAAGCATCCCATAGCTTGGGACTTTTTCCTTTAAGCAAATAACAAGTCTTTGTCATCTCTCCTCACCAAAACCTTACTACTAAGACTCATGTGCGTTATTTTTAAATCACAAATGTGCACGCAAAGGTTTCTTCCTGTTGTCTTGCCGTTGAGCAGCCCAGAATGCACGCAGCGCCTTAGCCAGGTTTTAATTTTTGATCTCTCTTTTCCTCGTGGGATTTTGAGGAATTTACTCAGTTCCTCTCTGCGAAAGCCATTCTGCTTAGACACTAAGTGTTTCCCTTAACTGCAGAGCCATTTGCAGCACATGTATGATTTTGGAGGTACAAGCCTTTGAGAAAGAAATCTTTTCTTGAAGTCCTCTGGCGTTGCATTGCTCTATTAACTTAAAAAACCAAAACCAAACCACCCCCCCCCCTTCAAAATTTGTGTAAATATATGGAATTTAAGACTGAATCCTAATGTTGCATTCCTCAATGGATGTATAGACGCTCAAGTAGTTTGAAATCTAGTAATTCTTCATCACCCAATTATGAAGATATGTGAGCTGATAAATTTAACTCAAAGTGTTGTTTTTTTTTTTAAATCTGTATCTACTGAGCAACATAGACTGAAAAAATAAATATGTTTGCCTTAATTAAATGTAGTTTCCTTTATGCTTTTGAAAAGGATCCAGACAAGTTCCAGTTTGGACGTACCAAGATCTTTTTCCGTGCAGGCCAGGTGGCATATCTGGAGAAACTGCGAGCGGATAAGTTCAGAGCTGCCACAATCATGATTCAGAAGACGGTGCGAGGCTGGCTGCAGAAGGTCAAGTACAAAAGGCTGAGACAAGCTGCAATCGTCATCCAACGCTACACGCGTGGGCATCTGGCGCGGAGGTGGGTCCTAGGAAACCCTCCGAGGAAGGGCTAGCTGGGAGGTCAAGTAGAAAAACACTTTTGGGGACTTGCATTTTCAATCTGTTCCATCTTGTAGACCTTAAACTTGGGGGTTTCGTATGAGAAACATTGAAAATGCTGTGTATGGGGTGTTGCCTTTCAGCCTCGTGAAAACAAGACCCATATTATGCACATAGGTACTTTCGCTATGGTGAAAGTTTCTGTGCTAAAGTCAGGGCTCATTCCTCGCACCTCTTTCCAGCTTTATTCAGAGGGAAGATATCAAAGTTCTTTGCCTCAAACTGGTTTCATATCTCTATTAATTTAATTTCTAGCTGCTGGGCCAGAGTTACAACATAGGCAGCTAGGTTATAATCAGATGACTAAAGTACTCTGAGATATTTAGGTGAAAGTGTTTCACCAAACTAGTATTTTTATGGGACTACCTCCGCCAAAGGGTGTTTGGATCCATCAGTGAGCACTTTGCTAGTTGGTGTGTGCTCCTCTTCTGCAGGGAGCAGGTTTGAGCCTCCTTGGTATCTAAAGGGAATTCTTAGAATTGATTTTCTGTGTCTTTTGTAATGAGAAAAATCACTCCAAATCACTGGCGATAGGGCTATTTACAGGACAGAATAATAGAGCGCAACGTTTAACTCTCCATGTGCAGGAACCTCAAGCTTCCTCGTGTCCGTGGCTTGCTGGGATTTCTGTAGATAAGGCTCCACTGGAGAGCAGGCTTTACTGGTGGCAGATGTGGAGTGGGCGTGAGGGAGGAGTAAAAGAATGTAATAGCATCCCAAAACACAGGTCGCCTTGCATCTTGGGCTTCTTATTCATGTCAAACGCTGCCACTCTCCTGCATTTAGCCAAACTGGCTTCAGGCACTTTGCAGATAGGAACAAGGAGTAGAGTTGGGTTCTTTCAGCTTTGTTTCCCTTCTTGTTTTCTGCTTAGAGAAGCTGTGGTGTGTTCGCAATGTTTGGTTTTGAGCAGCAATGTTCTCCCTGGTTCTGATTGAGCATCTGCTTGTCAGAAGTGCTGCTACCTAATCCGCAGCCCAATTAACTCTGCTTGTAGTTGCGCGACACGAGATGCCGCCTGTATGCTACAAGGCTCCTGCCCAGTCGCTTCTTCACTCCTGATTGCTGGACGAATGTCGATTTCCATCAATTATTGAAGCAACTAAAGCCTCATGTTCCTTCCAAGGATTTCCTCTAAATCATACTGTATTTTGGAAGAACATCAGAGATGCAAACTGAATTTGTGGTATGATTTGTGCTTGTGAAAGGGGTCGGCATCGTGGAGAATCCGAGGCTGAGAAGGACTCAAATAAGCAAAGCTGGGCAGTTTGGTGGCTTTTATTTAAAACTGAGCATAGATTTTCCTTCTCCTGGGAAGTCCAGGTACTTCTCTCCGTTTGTGGCTGCAGGTCCCTCTCAGCAGTCTTACAGCTCACTTGAAGATAAGGCAAATGAGAGCTAAGCAATAAGAGGAAGGTGAAGAAAAAGGGAGAGTTGGTGATTAACTTTAGCCTCTCTGGTGGGCTCTCCATGCACACCTGCAGACTTGGACTCTATATTTGAGTTTTTATCAACCAACCATCCCTCTAAGGAGGGAAGGAGGAATCCCTGGTGATGGCAAAGTGACGGGGTATGAGCTAAAAGAGAAGCTGGAAGCAGATGTGCCGAAACCACCCGCTGCAGTGTTTCTTCAACGTGATTTCTCAGTTCACCTCTTTGTGCAGGTTTCACAGGGATGGATGTCATCTGAGTATCTGCTTTCTCCTCTTTTTGGAAACGGACCATCCCTTGTCCTCTTTAGTAAGCTCTGGTTCAGTGGGTCCTAATGAGAAACCGTTGGCCTTGACAAAGAGAATACATAAACCAATCCGATATGGCTCTTTTAGTTTTGATAAGCTTTTCACGAAATAAAGAAGTGGCTCAAATATCAATATAATGCTTCATGTTGAAAGCAATAAACAAATCATAAATTCAGCAAAGCACGCTAATTATCAAATTTAATGGAGATTTTATGGGCATTTATTAACCTGTGTAACAGCAAATTGAACAGGAATTCAGTTGGAGAATGGGAGCAACATGACACGGAGTTGACCACATCCCTCATTATTTACTGTCTGTGAATTGCTTGAGGCTGTACTCGTGAATGTTGCCAAACCAGTGCACACCGGTTTAAATGTCAAATCAATTTGCTGCCGTTTTCCCTGAGTCGGTAGATAACCCATGCGACGCTTGCTTTTTATAGTTGGGGAAGTGATGGAGCCAACCTGGTTGTTGTTTGGCTCAAGTATGTAAGGCAGAGAGTTCAAATCAAGGGAAAACCTGGAAAATATTTGGTTTTAATGCTGTTTAGGAATAATGAGGTGTGTTGATTTCTGGTTCCAGTGCTTCTGGGTGCCATGGGCGCTGTCCGATTGTGTACGTGTTCCCATTATTCTAATGGAGACGTGCTATCAGCTGCTCTTTTCTTAGCCCTACTGCTGGGATGGTCTTTCTTGAATACCATCAAGCTACTTTTGGACAAAAGGTTTTTCTCCCTGTCCGGTTTAAAACTTATTACGACGGAAAGAAGGGGAGTTTAGTTTTCCTGCTAACGTTTTTGCTGTGCTTTGCAGACTTGCTGAGCACCTGAGGAGGACGAGAGCTGCCATCATCTTCCAAAAGCAGTACCGAATGCTGCGGATCCTCCAAGCTTTCCAGAGGGTCCGCAATGCAACCATCACCATTCAGGCTTTTGCTCGGGGCATGTTTGTCAGGAGAATTTATCACAAGGTATGACTCCCCAGAGTGTTTTTGCATTAGAAAAGAGTAGGAAGAGCCTTTATATTTACCTCCGCTGACGTAGCACGATGATGTATTTATTGTGGCCATTTTGATGTTTTACAAAGCCGACAGCCTCTGGTGTTTCTGGAGAGCAGACGGTGACAGCAAGCATTGCCACTTAAAGCTGTGCAAGCAGAAATGATTTTGGCAGCAGCATCTCAGCGGCGCAGCTAAATGAAGTTAGTCATTCAGATGCCGGAAGGCGTTGTGGAAATCTGGAAATGTCATTTGATCTAACCCATACTCTGCAAAACCCTCTCTGGCAAACCAAATTGGTATCTGAGCTGTGCTGCAGGTGCCGTTTCCAGTATGGTAGGTAGACCAGTAGGGTCTGTCATGGAAGGCATCAAGTCATTTATTTATATAAATCCCTCTTTAATTAATTCTCTCCATTAGCTTTCTGTGTTAAACCAGGAGCCAAAAGCAAGGAAGTAAAAGTTTGGTGACAGCAAGTGAGAAATCGTCTGTCAGGAAACTGAGAACAGTTTTGGGGAATCTCCTGTCCACTCCTCAGATCCAGCCTTACTTTGGTAGTCACCTAAATTTATGCCTAATTGTGGTCACAAGGATACTTGAGGTCAGAGGCACAATGACCCAGAAGGGGAGAGCCTGCTCCTAGAGGTGATGGAGGTTACCTGGACACCTGGTGACCTCCCAAGAGAGATCAGGGATGTCCTCCAAAACAGAGCAGCTGGATGCTGGTGATCAGGAATTTGTGCTGCCACTGCTTTTTCAGCATCTGTTTTTTAAATCGGAAGCCTCTGCAGGGAGGGCAGCTGGTCCAGCATTTAAACTTTCTGAGATTCAAGGCAACCCAAAATCTTCACAAGGTGTAGAAGTCAGCTAAACGTCAGGCCTCTCAAATCTGAACATCCTTAATTTCTGGAGCACCTGAATATAGGTGTTAGGTGCAGGTATCAGTTCAAGTGCATGCTCAGCAGGAGATGCAGGGCTGCAGGTGATGCTCCGTTGGGGTCAGGGCATGCCCAGTGCCCACCGAGAGTTTGCTGTAAGGCTGGAATAGGTCCCCAAGGCAATGCCGTAGGGTTTCTTCTAGCTCTTTGGAGCACCCCCGGCTTTCTCCATCTGTTAAGTATGCCAAGGCTGGAAACATATAAGGCTCATTTCAGAGTCACTTCTCCTGCATCCTAAATTCACACAATCCCTTTATTCTGAATTAAACTTTGCAAGTGCAAAGAAAGCCTTAGGGTGAAACAAAAGATCTGTAAGAGAAGCTGAAATGGTACCTTTTCTGAGACGACTTATCCCAAACTAATAACAGCAAAGTGTCTTGTAATCTTTAGATTCTCCTGATACTTCTTTCCTCATAGTACTGCAGCATAGATCAACGTAAGAAAGTTATTAACAACATGCCAGTTTTATCTTGAATATGTTAGCCTTCAGTTGTTGAGGAAGGAATTGAACTGCCACCTACTTGAAAAGATTGCTGTAAATTTTTGGGGAGAAATTCAGTGCAAAAGTGCCAGAAGTTTCACCAAACCAGATAGAAGTTTCTAGAAATTGAATCGTGCAAGCGAACTGGCTGCAGACTGTAGTGAAAGGACTCCAGGGTTTTATTTGAAGGTTATCGACATGCTAAGAAATCCCACCAGAACAGCATTTATCTGCAGTATGAATTATCATAATGCAGGGGTGGAACACAGAAGAAAAAAAAAAAATCTACAAACCTGTTTACCTGTGAGTTATATCTGATGCTGAAGGGACAGTAAGTTTATTGCCAAGTGTCGGTGTGTCTGTTAAGGGCTATTTATTCTGCTAGCTGTGGATCTTGTGGATCCGAGTTCTATACCGATGGACCATGAAGTCTCACTTGAGCCCAGATGTTCCCTGTCCCCATTGAGTCCTCCACTCACCAGCTGGGATCATATCCCCTCGTTTCACTGGCCAAGCAGGTCTTGACTTGTTTTAGAGAGAGGGGCAATAGCTCCTAAGAGAGGGCTAGGTATGTCCTGCCTTCATCAGCTGAGCACAGGGACTGGAGAAACCCCCCAGGAAAGGGGATTGAAGTACCCTTTCCCGTCTGTGAAAGAGGATGCAAAATAACAGCCTCCATCTCCAGCCATAACCCCCTGCACCTACTGGGACACTCCTGTTTGGAGGAGAAGCCCTTTCGAAGGCAGGTTGGGAAGTGTTGAGTGCCGTGTTGCAGCCAAACCATGGCTGCTGCTACCTTTACAGGTGACTTTTCTCCCTTGATTGTCCCGTTTCTGCCTATCTTTTGTAGATCCTTGCGGAGCACAAAGCCACCATCCTCCAGAAATACGCCCGTGGCTGGCTGGCCCGCACTCGCTTCCGCCGGGTCAGGGGTGCTACCATTGTCCTGCAGTGCTACTACCGACGCATGAAGGCCAGGCAGGAGCTGAAGGCATTGAAGATTGAGGCCCGCTCAGCACAGCACTTGAAGAAGCTCAACATTGGCATGGAGAACAAGGTGGTCCAGCTTCAAAGGAAGATTGATGAGCAGGTAGGTCCTGAGCTGTGCTGGGACAAGTGTGGTCCTGCTTCTGCTTTGCCTCTCTTCTGTTGTCCGTCCTAGGAAGGATTTTATCTTTCCATGATGTCTGGGAAGGATGTCCTGGTGGTAGCAGCCTTCTGCTACTGATGACCGGAGACTTGTAAGGGTGGGCCCCCACCGTGGAAGTGCAGATGCACTTGCGTCTTGGGTCTCTACCTTGCTGTCTGAAGAGCTCGCTTGGTAAGCTGCAAAAGCTGCATTGTAATTGTTGCGAGAACTGCCTAGAAGGACTTAAAAGGAGGACGATAAAACGGTGATTTTGAAAGCTGTTGCTTGAAAACCCAGGCCAGCTCCACGTGAGATCCCTGTGTCAAACAGGCTTTGGGCTGGATTGTTCCATTACGCTTTCTGCTTTGCAAGCACTGAGGACGCAGAGTGTCTGCCCCGGTTTGTCGTACTGAACCGTGTGTGTTTTGACACCACCTGGAAGGAAAACAGTAAATTGAGTAAATACTCACTTTGCAAAGTACTTTGAGCATGATTGTGTTCCTGGATATTACAGCTGTTCAGAAGCAAGAGCCCTGACGGGTGAGACGTCGCAATGTTAAGTGATAGATGCCTGTGTGGATCGCTTGAAGGTCTCGCTGTGACAACTTGATCACGGAGAGGTCTTCATCAATTGCCACTTGTCATTAATGAGCAGCAGAATAAGAGTTTGATTACACACTTAGGAGACGTTGCTTCCCAGTTGCTGTACAGGGCCTTCAGGGGTGAGGGTAAGAAATGCTGAGTGGGACCCAGTTGCACCCGCTAATATCAACGGGGAAATTCATATCCACCTATATCCTTAAACAACCTTTTTACACACAGGAGGAACATTCTCTGTAAGTCAGGACACCTCCTTATTTGTAGTACCAGTTACTAGTAATTGCAGTTTCTCATTCTGTTTGGGATGTTGTCAGGGACCCTTATACATCACACGCGGTTTCCTCGCCGCCTTAAATCTCTCCCATCCCTGTATGACACGTGAGGTCCTGCGATGAAGATGATGAGCAATGACTCTGCGTTGGCTCGGATACTGCAGAGTCAAGACACCCAGGGATTTGCATTACTGCTGGCCGCTTTCATTGCTGTATTAATTGGCTGCAAAGCATGCACCGCAGTAGAAGCTGACTTTTAAACTGCGGTGTTTAATTTTAAAATGCTTGCTTGCGTACTTAGATTTTTGCAGACAAACCATAGCTGAGGAACGGAAAACCTTAGACATAAGGTTTTCTATATATTTATATGTCAGGAGCCTGTTTGATAGGACCCGTCATCTGGAGGGTATTTGGTGGAATTAATTAGGACGAGTCATTTCAGGTCCACATATTTGGGCTGAACTTGTGCAGTGAGCGTGAACGTCTGTGTTAGGTCTGCGGAGCTGCTGGACCTGGCAGTGGAGCAGCAGTATTCATTTTAATTTTTTTTTCTTCCCCCCCCGCCTAATTCCTTGCCATTTACTGGAAATGGTGGTGGAACAATCCAGAAAAATTTGGTTAATGTTGGTTTTCTGTTGCAGATTATGGATTATGAACGCAGCAGAAAGGTCTACTTTAGGGAAGGAGCCATGGAGAGCTTTTAAATAGGCAGAAAGAATGAGCTGGAGCTGGGTTTGATCTCCCTCGATCTCTGCGCAGATCATCTTGAAAGAGTTACTTTGATGCTTTCTGTAACTTTTGCAGGAAAGAATTGCTGCTCTGTGTTATTCGTGGTCGTCTGTCCGGTGAGCTAATTTCTAATGGTCGTTTCAGGACAGACAGGTTTCCCCGCGATGCTTCGGAAGTGCTAATGAGCACCGTTCCAGCAGACTTTCTTTTCGGTGCACTGGATATTTTTCTGGCAGCAGTGTTTCCCTGAAGTATCTTGATTTTAGTCCTTGCTAATCTATAAACATGACCTTTCAAAATGCCAATTAACTTCTTCGTAAAAAAAAAACCCAACCCTAATTGCGGGTAACCTGGAGAGCTGCAGTTGTATCGTTTTCTGACTAGCCGTGGAAGAAAAACGTTTCTATTTCTGCTGCTTTAGCTCATGCGTGAATAGAGATGCAATACTCCGTGTGCCCCCGAGGAAGAGAAGAACTTTCTTTGAAAACATTAAAACCTGTTCTTGTATGTCAGCCTCAGCTCATATGCTCTAGCTTCCATAACTGGGCCTATTTAATTCCGTTCCTAAATCAAGTGAGGGATTTTTTTGCACACACAAGAGAGGTTTAAATCTGTTTTGCTGCACAGGACCGCTTTTTTCTATCCACATTGGACCACTTTCTTCTCTTTTCTTTTTTCTCTCTTTCAGTTAAGTGAGTCTTTTTTAAATGTGTACGTTGTAGCTGCCTGAGACACTTTTAAGGCTGTTACCTAATTTAGTGTTACGTGTTCGTGCAGCCCATATTTAAACTCAGAGTGAGCTCCCTACGCTGTCTCTCCAAGCGGCAGTATCTCGGTGAGCATTTATTGTGAGTAAAACCAGTTTGTATGACGGTAATGATGAAGTTGTTATCTCTGCCATTGGTAGCAAAATAAACTTCACAGAGCCTGGCTTGAAACCGGGACTGTCACAGCTCTGCTGGGCTGGATAATGATTTAAAATAAAGTAAGTTCAAGTTTAACAGGGTCTGTTGAGCAATCTCCAGTTGCACTGGGACCAGCCATTTCGGTGCGAGACAGTGAATGCTCTCTCATGTCTCTAATAGCTAATAACAAGGAAAAGCATTGCTGTGCATTTATCTTGTTCCTGGATTGCAGTCTCAGTTGGCCGGTATGTAAAATCGGATACATAAACCTTGGGACACAAAGCCATGAAACGTTGTGTGTTGGAGAACAACGGGGGGAAGCAGCAGAGGTTTGTGAACCGAAGTGATTATTGTCATTCTCTGCAAAGCTTTTCTCTCCGAATGGATCTCGTTGGAGATGTGGAAATGTTCATTCCTTAATACCACATTGAACACTCAGTTTTGATCTTCGCTACTAATTAATTATAAGGGAGCAAAGGAAAAGATGTTCATGTCCCTTGTTTACTTGGTTTTCCATTGGAGATGTGTCTTAATCTTGGTTCGGAGCGCTGAGACTGCAGCGGGAGAGGGGTGCTTTGGGAGGTGACCTACAGAGAGGCCGAAAGGATGATCGGAGCGATGGTAGAAGAAACGATCCTACGAGCTACATTGGGAATTTAAGAGACTAATCCGAAGTACGGGTGGGGATTTCGGTATCCACCAACTCATTGTGTGTTCGTCCAGGGGCCTGTCTGGTCTGAAAGAACCTGTGTTAGACCTAGAAGAGAAAATTCTCTGCTTTCATGGGTGGTTTTTTTCTTTACAAGGCTATAAAGTTCTTTGAAAACTAATTCTGTTATACAGGAGCTAATGGGAGCCTTTGACTCTATCACAGGGATAGTTTATACTTTTTTGCGTTGAAATTTGTTCTTGCTTGCTTGACTCTGGTGAGCATCTTAGAGGAAGAAGTTGCGTTGCAGGATCTGTGACTTTGCACCTTTACTGCTTACCCTGACCAGTCAAAAACTGTATATCAGGACTTCCCTAGTCCTTTGACTTTTAAAAATGATGTATTTGTATCTTTTAAGACTTTCGTCTTCTGGCTTCTTCACCTCAAGCTTATCTTAGCCTCCACGTCAACTAAAAACTTCTGGATGGAAGGAGCCGTTTCTCATGAGCTGGTGTAACGCTGCTGCTGACTAAAGCTCTGAGAAACAGCAAAAGGCTAAATTGCAGATTACCAGGACACTCATCTAGTCTGGACAACGATCTCTTGCCAAATGTTTTCCAGCAAGACCAAGAAAGGCCAAAACTGATATTTCTGATACGTGAGTGAAATATCCACCAAGGTCCCATTTAAGAAAGGAAAGCCTTTCGGATCTGTTGTGCAGTGAGTGAGACGAGCCCAGATCTTTAAAGCTCTATTGAAAGCTTTCAAAAAGGAAACTGTGTAAACCAGACTACATTTTAAATTTCCAAACTGTTCTTTTGCTCTCATAATTATGTACCTAAAGTTAGCAAAGCTACGTGGTAAGCTCTTTACTGAAGCTCTTGGTCTGTTGTGAATTCATTGTCGTTTCTGGGGCTGGCTAGCAATGATGATGTTTTACTAGTCACAATATGGTTCCCATTGACTTTGGTTTGAACCACAAAAATCAAATGAGGCTGCTGAATTTTCAGGTCTCAAAACTTGGGAGCAAATCGTTGCTAAGTGCTTTAAAAGAGAATATCTGAGCAGATAAAAAGACGATTGAGCTGGCATGTGACTTAAAGCTGGGGTTTAGGGAGCTCTTTGTGCTCAAGGCTGCAATTATGGTACAGTGCATTGTCACCCCAGGTTCCTGCGGGCATAGGAGTCAGGAATAAAAGGATCAACTGCAAACCCAATATTACAGACAAAAAAAAAATAAATTGCAAACCAATTGCATTAGGCAACATTGTTTGGAAGCTGTAACAAAAGTGTAGTTTTGTGATTTGGTTGCCAGGGCTACCAAGCGTTGTTTGTCTTTGCTTCAAGTGTAACATCAATTTAATAAATGCTTGTATAATTGGTACCAAAATATTATTGAGCTTTTGTCACAGTTTTGAAGTTGTTTTTAGCTTTGTGAGCTTTCTTAGCATACGCATGGAAATGTTTGTTATCGGAAGTTTGTTACCCACCATGCTCAAGGATTTTTAATGGTTTCTTTTGTAGTGCCTCATCAGTGCGTGCATTGATCGCGCTTATGGTCTTATTTTCTTCTTTTTTGGGATGTTGGCTGCAGAACAAGGAATACAAACTTTTGAACGAGCAGCTCACTATGCTCACGTCAACCCACTCGTCTGAGGTGGAAAAGCTGAAGAAGGAGCTGGTGCAATATCAGCAGAGCCACCGGGGTGACGACAACCAGCTTGTCAGCTTGCAAGAAGAGATGGAGCACCTCCGGCTGGAGCTTGAGAAAGCTCATGGTGAGAGGAAGGTGGTGGAAGACAGCTACGTTAAGGAGAAAGACCTACTGAGAAAGGTACCGTCTATTTGTCACGTCTCGTGTTGTGTAGGGCTCCTGCAGGTGGTCATACTGGTGAAAGCTCGCTCTTTGTAAGTCTGAAGGGGAAAGAATTTCTCTTCTTTAAATGAGGATTTTTTTTTTCTTTTTGTCACTGAGTGCCCCTAGAATTTGCCTTTTAACCGCGTCATGGGGCAGCAAGGGCAGGTGGACGTCCCTGCGGGAGCAGCAACTGCCTCATGTCAGGAGGATGCCCCGTCTTGATGCCTTTTTGCACTGCCAACCACAAAGAAACTCCCCAAACCCAGACCTGTCTGGAAATAAAGGGGCTTAATAACCATGGATATGCCAGGACTTCGTGTATATACAGTGATTCCTCGTGGCATGTAATGCAAAATATTGGAGAAGGCTGTCATAGGTGCTGTAAATATTAGGAAGATGCCTTTCCTTAGCCCAGCCTGGTATGGGTCGTGAGGACTCGGTTTCTGCCGTGCAGTCCATGGCCGTTGCAGCTGGTCGTGGTGGCTGGTGTTGTAGGTATATGCCAAGTATGGCCTATGTTGGGGACCACCTTGTCCCTCCCAAGCAGAGGCTCTGCTCCAACACCAGCTAGACTTGTTGTTCCGAGCCTTTATAGGGTTTGGAGCTATGCTGTAGACTAAACATTTTAATTTTTTTTTTTGGCCTCCTCCATGCAAACTCCTGTGCTTTCTGGACCTCTTGAGGTGGAGGTGGTCCAATGCTGCCACCATTGTACAAGAAAGAGGAAGAGACTTCAGAGTGTAGAGGTTTTTTGCAGATAATAAAAATGTACCTTTTACTCTGAACTTCTTTGCTGGTCAGGTTTGTTCTGAATAACCTTCAGGCTCATTCTTGTAACCTAAGACATTAAGGTATGGGTTTAGTTTCCTGCTGCGAATGCTTGTGCAGGTTGAACCCATGATCTTTCTTCTTCTGCACCAGGAATTGAAGTGGTTTCTTCGATTCTGCTGTTGGAAAGAACATAGGACCTTTCTACTCAATACTTGCATAGAAAAAGCTGATTTGCAGCTGTTGCTCTAGAATAGTGCTTTTTGTGTGACAACCTGAAGATGAGTCACTTTTGAGGATTTAAAAAAAAAGCAAAAAAGGTCGAGGATTAGCTGTATTTTTATTATGGTGGAGGACTGCCCAGATGGGGCTCTTCTAGGGCACTTCCCTCAGCAGCCCTTGCCCTGGCCAACCTCTTTTTGTGGTCAGCCCTCAGATGGTGGGTTTGGGTGAGAAGGTGTGGTTGGGATAACTCAATCTGAACAACTAGTACAGCTAAAACACATTTTTGGATGTGCTTCTCAAAGGGGCATTCAGCCTGTACATGTCTTGTCTCTTGGCTGGACCAAGAGCTGTTGCATTTTTGGATGTGCTTCTCAAAGGAGCATTCAGCCTGTACACGTCTTGTCTCTTGGCTGGACCAAGAGCTGTCAGAAAAGCAGTTACTCCGCTCTTTGCACATGTATTGCCCCCACATAGGGACATATGAAATCAATGATTTTCCTTTCTCCAGCACCAAATTAGAAGATCCTTTTTTGGCACAGGGCTGGGTTCATTAACTGGCTGCAGCACAGGCTTTTAGAGCCTTAAAGGTTGCTTTATTTTGAAGGTGATGCAGCTGGGGAAAAAGAGCTTCTCTTTGTTCTTGGTTGCAAATCCCCTGTGAGCACTCAGAAGAAACGTTGATTTAATGACCAAAGAAATGCTTTCAAAAAGCGTGAAAACAAAGCAAAAGCTTTCCTGTATTGTAGAAGTGCCTACAGCAGAGCAAATACTGTGTACTTTACCATGCCAATAAATGGTTTAGTTTTAAAACATAGCGTTGCGGGCATGGTGGCATCGGGTATACGGTTGGACTTGATGATCTTTGAGATCTCTTCCAACCATAATGATTCTATGATTTCTCCTGAGCAGTGCAGGCTCCCATTTCTGACATTAGCTTTCAATTGTTCCCTTCGATTCCTTGTCAGTGAGAAGACGGAAAAGACCTGTTTCCTTCTTGGAAACATTCATTTAGCCAAAACACTTTCCAAGAAAAAATCTGATAGAGATTTTTGAGTAGTTCTAATAACTACCAAAAGTGTGAGGAGTGTCATGAAACTGAATTCAGGCGAGAAACACTTTTCCCCTTCAATATCAAGATTACACCGTGGCTGTGGTTGTGGTGGGATGTGTTTGCTCTGGACGATACCCAAAGTCATGAGATACTTTGGAGTGAGACTGAGATGACAGCCTTAATTTTATCGACTGGGGCTGCAGCTTTTGCAAATCCGTATTAGTTATGACTTCGATACTGAAAAAAAAGTCCTTTAATCTCTTCCTTACAGCTTTGCTCTCCAACTCCTTAATTTTAGAATAGCTCTTCTTATTCCATTTTGTGATAAAGTTTAAAACATCAGATCTGGGTGAGTATCAACAGCTCTTCCTAGGGCTTGCGGTAGCACCTAATCTTCTCACTTGGTGAGCTAGGATGATTCAAAGCGTGACCAGGAATTTTATTAAGGAAAATCCTAACTGCCATCATCTTTTCCTGATTAGGGAAAACAGATCTCATGAGCAGGTGGTTCCAGTCTAACACTTAAATAAAGGCTGAAGCCATCACAAGCGCTCACTGCTCAACATCTTCCATAGATATCCTTCAAAGCACATGCTGTTGTATTTGCAGCACCTTCAAAGATCTGTTTCCTATAAAAGATGAGCAAGAGGTACAAAAGGCACCAGTGTAGGTGCCAGAGATGGAGTTTGTGCTGCTTGGCCGTTGTGTAACCTGCTCCGCTTGCCTTACCTGTGTTTAATGGACTGTTTTCATTCTGACTGGGTTTCTGGTAAACACAAATTTTGAATTCCAGCATGTTTCGGTTTCACGTGGAAACACGAATGCGATAAACAAGTTCAATCACTTAAAATCACATCTTAAAAAAAAATCTATACCCAATCTCAATTAGAAATATTTTAAACCTGGGAATAATTGTTGGCAGATTTTACCAAGTCTTTCAGTTCTAAAATATCCCTCCAACACAGCTGAAAATCCTCCAAATTTTTGCCGAGTTTTGTTTTTCAACCATCATAACTTTGTCCTCTGGGCGGAAGAGTTCATTATCAACACCCGTTCAAGAGCACTAGTAAAATAATTCCATTACCTTTAGTCTTTTCCCTGATGGGATAAACAAGATGAGTTCCTCACTCTCCCATTACAGCACAGGTTTTCCTTCCCTTCTGTCACTCTTGTAGCTCTTCTCTAATGTTTTAAAAATTCTTTCTACCTTGAAGACACTAGTGCTGACCTAATGACTGCAAGTCTGCTCTGATATTTATTTGAAGTGATGTACGAATGAAGAAATGTAGTTGGTTTTGGTACAGAATATTAAAATCGCAGCTCAGTTCAGAGCATTTAAAACACCAGTAGCTCCGCATACCTTAAATTGTGTTTTCTTTGCTTTCTAGTTGTATCTCCAGACTCCAACTTTCCTATTATATATCTATGGAGATGCAGATTATAGTCTCATGCAGATACCAAAATTAACCGCTCAGAGAGCAAGGGATACCGGGGTCTTCCAGTTTCTGTGCTTGGGATATGACTGCTTCAGTCATGATTTACAGTAAAATATTCATCGTGCTTTTATCCTCACCATTAGTATGTACCCGGCATATGCAGTATTTGAGAAAATAGTTTGATTTGAGCATGCTGGTGTGGAAGACTTGAAGTCTGTGCTAGGAATGTATGCCAGCTGGGCCGCCTAGAAATTTTATCTAGCGGTGACAGGAAAGTTATTATTCTTGGGGACTGAAAACTTTTATTATGGTGTGTACAGTGGTGTTCAGCTTTGGCATCTTGAGATTCTTCGGCTGCGTGTAGCTGTTTTCTAAGCCGTGGCTAGAGGATGCGATGGAGCAGGCACAGGGAATGACATTACGTTAGGGTGATGTGTCAGTTTGTTCTCATACCTGACAGCAGCAGAATCATCCTGCTTAACCATAGCAGCATATTTCGCTTGATAATGTGATGGGTTTGTGTTTTGAGATCACACTGTTGAATGCATCAGAATTCCTGAGGATGAACAAAATTACAGGATCGGTTGGTGTCAGCGTCAGTCCAACCTTGTAGTTGTGACAAGTGCCCTTGCTTCCCCTCATTTTTAATAAAGAGGTAATTAAAAAGAAATAGTATTTTCCAGGATTTAGTTTCACTTTTCATTAATTGTTGCTAGGCAATTGGTGTTAATTGCTATATATGCTCCCGTTGTATTACCAAAGGCCCTGGTACGTACCATGCATCCCTGTACTGGAGATTCTGCAGTAGTCTGAAGCATTTAAGTGACTATAATCTGATTACATGAAGTAATAAACATGAAGTTAAAAAAGGCTAAACTAGTTAGTATCAGTGCTTAAATTCACTGTGTTCATCTTAACTAAAGTGCTCTTTTGCTTGAAACGATCAGCAGATATTTTTTTTCCCCAACAGCAGTCAGTGCTATGACTTGAAGAGAGCGATGAAGCCCATTGAGATCTGGAAATCAACCTCTGATTTGACGACCTGATCACTTGTAGGAGTTTCAGATCATGGTCGCCAAGTCCAGCTGCTCAGTTTTTTGTAAGATTCTGCAGAAAACAGTAATTTAAGGGAGAAATGCACTCAGGAAAAGAAAAATTAGTCTCTGTTGTTGCCATGCAGTTCTCCTACGCTTCAGTTCCTGGTGTACGAAGGGTAACTGGCAAAGCGCAAGGGGTTAGATCTTTTGGAGAGCAAAGAAAGCCCGAACAAAGCTCCCTGTCTCCAGCCAGGTGAAATGTAATCCCTCTGCAGAGGCTCTGACCTGCAGCAAGCAGTAATTCTTTGCCTTGTTTCGTAGCGCATATCTGACTTGGAAGAAGAAAATGCTCTCCTGAAGCAGGAAAAAGAGGAGCTTAACAACAGGATCCTGTGTCAATCTGAAGGTAAGAAAAAATGTTTATAGCATTCGTAATACTTCCACTAAATGAGGAGCTTAACTGTTCTTCCCTGAAACTTGGTTTTCCCGTGGGCTTTTCCTACCTTGAAAAGTGCTCATCTTCCCACAACCCTCTCCTGGTGGTTTTTGTCGTTGTTTTATTGTGCAGGTAGTTCTGTTCATGCTGTCCTACTGGTAGAGGGTAAGACAGAAGCTGGTTTAACTGGTGAAATACAAAATCAAATACCTCAAAGGGCTTTTTAGTTCAGTTACGTTGCAGCATTTACTGTGGGTGATGTGGGAGGCAGCGAGGCTACTAGGAATGGAGGGTAAAAAATAACAGTGTCCCAAGGTTGATGAATAAAGGATCCAAGGAACAGCACAGTTAACAATATTGTTATCTGTGACAAAGGATTTCTCTGATGTGACAGGAGTCTGTGAGTGTTTTTTAAAGCAGATTTAGATGGTGAGACATACATAGAGGAGAGCAATCTGGGAAAAATCCCAAGCCGTGAAAGAAACACTCATGTGTATTGAGCTTTTTTATTTTTTTATCATCCTTTTCAGCATGGATTTTGTTGCAGGATTTACAAAGAGCATCATGCATCATTCTGTGGATGTATCTATCACTGCTCCATGGTACTCGTGAAGTACCTCTTGCTCTCAGCCCGATGCAAAATAAAGGAATGAAAATAACATATTAAAAAGAAACTTGCTGCAAATATTTCTTCATCTCTTATGGGATGCTTTTGGAGCATCGGAGCTTGGGGAAAGCAAGTTGGAGGGGTTTTGTTTGGCGTTCACCCATTTAAAAGGACATGTGGGCTGTATGGCTGGTTTCTGAAAAAGAGCAGGGACCAGATTTATTTCCAAAAGGGAGTTTTTAACATGCAGCGAGTACCAAAGGCGCTTCTTAAACACGAATCTGTTTCCATACTGCGCTGGTCTTTTCTTAAGTGGTTTTATGGCTGGCCCATGGGAGCTGGAGCTGGCACAGCTGAAGTAAGCATAATAGAGCTGATGGTTTCTAGGTGCTGAGGATTTTTCTTTAACTCAAACGGCAGAGGACTGTGCTCTCCGAACAGAAGAGCTTAAGCTGTTCCAAATGGTGAGGAGACAGATCTGGATTATAATAGTCTTTAAATATTAGAGGATGCTTATATCTATTTTGAAGGTTCTTGGCAGAGAGCATTTTGGTAATTAGTCATTGTTATTGCACATATTTACAAGAAGTTCATTTCAGAGATGAAGGTTGTAACTTTTTTTTCCTCATTTTAAAGATGAATTTGCACAAAACATGGTTGAGGAAAATATCCAGATGAAGAAAGAGCTGGAAGAAGAGAGATCTCGTTATCAGAACCTGGTAAAAGAGTATTCCAGGCTGGAGCAGAGATACGACAACTTGCGGGATGAAATGACTATTATAAAGGTAATGAAACTGAAATTATCCCTGTTCTGTTGTGTCCTGGACTTGATGTTGGTGGCTTAGCCCCAAAACACTGAATAAAACTGACATTATGGTGCAGTTTGTGCTTGATGTTTCTAAGACTGAACTTCTGCACTGAAGCAGAACCATATGTGTGCCTTGAAAAAGAAGCCTGATCTTTCACGCTCCTCTGTTAAGTACTTCGAGATCTCTGTGAATCTCAGCAAAAGCTGGTTCATGCTTCTTGTTTTGCGTTTTGTTTCAGTTATGTTCGTGTGTAGGTGTTGGGTTAAAAAAAAAAACAAAACAAAACAAAAAACCCCAAAAAACCACCAAAACAACAAAAAAACGAGCAACATGACTTCAGAATTTCCAAAGCCAAAGCTTTTGGATTCAGCTTTGCTAAAGTTTTAGAAGAACTGTTGAAAATTAAATAATAATTAGAGTGACGCTGGATTAGGTGGAAGGTTGAGTGTTTAAAGGGAGGGTGCTGTGAACAGCAAAACCTTGAGCTCAGATTTGCATGTTTACACTTCAGAGGCATCTGGTGTCATGAGAAGCCTTTAATTCATGTAGAACTTTTAAAGTGAGCTTCTGTATCTCTTCATATTTTATTTTAAACTCTTCCCCTGTGTTAATATGCATGTTATAGTAGGGCATAAGAACTAGAAAATGGAATTCACTGTAAGGTGACAGTCAAGCCTTTTGTAAAGCTAACCTTAATATATAGACACATATTTGCTCTAAGAAACAATGCTTCGTGAGGTCTTTCTTTGAACACTGAATGTATTATGTATCTGCATTGCTCCTTGGCAGCAAGCACCAGGGCACAGAAGAAACCCATCCAACCAGAGCAGTTTGGAGTCCGATTCCAATTATCCATCCATATCAACCTCTGAGATAGGAGACACCGAGGATGTAATACAACAAGTGGAGGTACAGTAAATCCAGCTGGCTTGGGGAGAGGAGGAGAGCTCTGCTCTGCAGGGATGATTGACCTGGGTCTTGGAGCACATAGGAATGCAAGTTGGACTACAAAATGTGAGGGATTAAATTGATTTCATGCTACAAGAAATACTTGTTAATTGTGTAAGAGGGATTGCAGGGTTGCGGTGCAGTTGCAAATGCTTGCTCATTTGTGGGGTCAGACTTAAATAGGGCTTTAAATGTAATTCAGTGTTGTCTTTTGGCCATACCAGCTTAAAGACCGATGAAAATTCATCAAAGCGGTCAGTGTTGTTACATGCTGTTATTCCTAGCACCGATGGCAATGGCTGTATAGCAATCCTTCTCCGCAAGGATACCAGAGTTCATTATCCCCTTGCTCCGAGCATTTTCATTCCAATGCATCTTCACGGATGCTTTGCTGACCAGGACAGCCCCTGTAATCGACAGTCTCGTAATGCAGAAAAGAGCAGCATAAATTATTCCTTGGCTATCAAGAATCACATGGAAAAGGGAAATACGATTTTTTTCTCACATTTGCTAGAATAGGCACATTTTAAACTCCACTTCCATGACTCGAGAGCATGCATGGATGGTGGATCTTCCTAGGATCTGTCACCCCACTGGCAGGACCGTATTTTGTGTCCCACGTACCATGTCTCCAGAAACCCTCACTTCCCTTTGCTGGCTGCTGTGTTATGTTGCTTTGGTATTTCTGAACTGCTCTGAGAGCATTTGCTGAAGTCAAAGTAATCGATATTGGCCATGCTGTAATATAAAATACTCCAGGTGAAGCCAGTTAAAAAAGAACTAATAAATACTTGGCTATAAGGGAGTCAATAGGGCATTTTTAATGTTCTTAGCTGTGACCCCAATCAGCCTACTTATCTATTGGGCTGTTAAACATTCAGTGGTTTATTAAAATGAGTCAACTGTTTATTGACATGGAAAATAGGTGCTTAAAGTGGGGATTTGGTCTTTGAAAGTCCATGGCTTTCTTGGGGTGCTCTTGTTACCAACTGTGGCTGAGGTCGGTGCTGATGTACAGTTAGGGCATATCTGGTACTGTGCATGGTTGTAAAACTTGACCGAGGTCTTATCTTTCTTTTTTTTCCACTCTCCTGTTCTTCTCCAGGAGGTTGGGATGGAGAAAGCTGCCATGGACATGACCCTCTTCCTAAAGCTACAGAAGCGAGTGAGGGAGCTTGAGCAGGAAAGGAAGAAGCTGCAAACCCAGCTGGAGAAAAAGGAGCAAGAGAGCAAGAAATCCCTTGTAAGAGATGTCTTTTCATTGATACTAATATTTCATGTTGGTAACTGGCTTTCCTTGGTTGCCTGAGGACACACAATGTAGGAATTGGGGTTTTAGAGTGACAAGTTCAAGTTAAGAGGCAGCAAATCCATCTGGGAAATGGAGAGAAACTTTTTTGGCAGCTGAGAACAATTGGACAGGAGAACTGATTTGGGTTTTTTTGATGTTTTGTTTTGGTTTTTTTATTAACTGGTTATAACAGATCTAGGACAGTATCTTAAGTATCTTGAAGCAATGAAATACTGAATCGATTTTACCGTGTTTTATTATGCCTGCACTGATCCCTTTTCATGCTCTTTTGAGAAATTTGAAATGCAGACTGAGTTTTGTTAACAAAGGTCAGAATAAGGAAGGGGAATGTGAAAGTAGGCAGGCTCTACAGAGGGATCTGGCCAGGCTGGATCGATGGGCTGAGACCAACCGTATGAGATTCAACAAGGCCAAGTGCCGGGTCCTGCACTTGGGTCACAACAACCCCATGCAACGCTACAGGCTTGGGGACCAGTGGGTGGAAAGCTGCCCGGTGGAAAAGGACCTGGGGGTGTTGGTCG